TGATAAGGAGCTTGTTTAAGTTAAATTTTTGGGACAATGTTTGCAAAAAAACCCCAACAAAAAAAACAAATAAATAAATAAAAAATGGAGGCTTGGGTTACAAATTCCTCACTATTTTCTGAGGACATAACTGAGTAAAATAACAACATGCAAATAATAAACAATTTTTTTGTTTTAAATCACTAGCTTCAGCACTCATGATTATCTCAGTTGTGCTCATCTATAATAAATGCTAGTTTTGTTGGGGTTCTCATTTTAAACATGTTCAGTACATATTTGAAACGGTTTAAACATGTGTTGATCAAGACATATGATAAAGTTGGAGGCTGCAGTTTGTAGTGTGGCGAATAGTTTTACACTATAATCACAGGTGTTTCTATTATAATCTTGGCCATAACTCGTAAATCGTTAGAGTAGCCAAAGCAAGGATTATTCTACTGTACATAACCTTTAGCTAGATGTTCCTAAAAACCCTGCAACACTAGTACCTCTTAGATAAGGACCGTAGCCTTTAAAGTAGTGTGTGCGTTTGTCTCAGCTTCTCTGTATGTGTGTGTCTGGGCGTCTTCACCTTCCTAGCGGCTAGTCATTCATCTCGGTTTGACAGTCCCATTACTGGAGGCAGCTACTGTGGCTCAGAAAAGAGCATTGGGAGCACCAGGGGTAATACCACTTAGCAAAGCCATCATGCTGATGCCTACGTTTTCTCCATGTTCTGCCACTGCAATTAGCATCATGCTAATGTTTTAGAAACCACCAGTCCCCGTTGACTCATGTTAAAATTCCTTGAGAAAGAGTTTAACACCATGTCAGATATAGAAAAAAACCACAATCAAAACAACTTCTATTTAAAATCTAATTCTTTGCCATTCAAAACTACTATACCCAGTGATAGCTGCTCTGCAGAGACAGTCCAATAACTTGATTTAGTAGTGCAGAGGAGGGCTGTAATTGTTTTGGGACTCTATCTGCTGTCTGGCATGGTTTTTAAGAACACTTGTTTGGCAAGATGCTCACAGCTGCCACTTCACTGCCTCCAAGCCAGTTATCATTTTTTCAGAAAAAAAGTTACCAATAGCATTTTCCATTGTTGTCCAGTAGATTCTCCACCATGTGCTCCACTCGGACAAACCAGCTGGGGACGGCTTTGTAGATGAGTGGTGTGTCCGATCTGAAAAAACAACAGCAGATTTAAAAAAAAAAGAAAGAAAAAAAAAAAGGACCAAAGAGGCATACCACATAAACTTTAACCCTGTGTGGTGTTCATTTTTTGTACTTGTGCGAGCGCTTGACAGCGACAGTGTTTGGACGAAAAAAAGAACAAAGTAACAAATAACATATGTATGTATGCATTATTGTAGAGTCTACCTTACAATATAAAGCGCCTTGAGGCGACTGTTGTTGTGATTTGGCGCTGTATAAATTAAATAAATCGCATCATTTTCCTTTTGGTAAATACTGAAAATGAAAGACCAAAACACTGCACAAAGGTTAAAACGAAAACTTTACTTATACTTGAAAGTGTATTTCTATTTTGAAGTTGAGACATAAAGCTGTTGGTCTTAAATCAAACAAAAAGATCCTGTACAATACAGACAATATATTGATTTCATTTATATTTACTGTCAAGCCATAAAATGTAAAAACAATTTATCAATCTTATTAATCTTATCCTGCATGCTAAACATTGAACTTCACACATTCTACAACAAAATAAGGCCAATGGCACTCAAAGAGAAAATATTTCATTGAGTCAGGCTTAACATTTGTGACAAAAATCTCCTGTGTCCAAAAGTTTGAGTTTTTCTTCAACTGGTGCTTTAAAAGCCCCGTGGTGAAAGGCAAAAATTTAAGCTGTTAATTTGAGTGACACAGAAAAGGATGCTGGAGGTAACATTAGCTTTTCAGTTTGAATTCTGTACATGTCTCACCTCCAGCAGAAGGGGTAATTATGCTTGCAGGAGCTGGCATTGACGAGGCGACTATTCTCCTTCAGCCACTTGATGATATTTTTGTCAGCGTCCTGTAACAGAACCACCAAACATGAGACATTGTTTAGAGAATGCTTTATAGCACAGAATAGGGCTGAAGAGCCACGTGTCAATGTCATTTAGGGTCAAAGATTTTAGCTGGCTAGGCATGGACAGATGTGTGCATTTACACATTAAACTACAGCCAACTGTCATGTCACAACGTACTGAAAGAGTCTGGAGTAGTACATCTGTTCATCATAGCTGCAAGGTGAAAAATTTAAAAATCCATGGAGATCTGCCAGGGCTCTTCAGCTCACTTCAAAGTTAACTTTTATAAAATCACTGTAAGGTTTGCTCTTTGCACCTATGCACAAAAATGAATTCATCAATTAATGAATAAGCATCTAACAATAAACACACTTCAGATCATGCAATAATTGTATCTAGTTGAATGAAAACTGCAGTGAACGTTTTGTGTTTTTAAGTACACTATTTGTGTCATATCGTCTTTTTTTAAAAAAACCTGCAGCACTGTTTTTTTCTCAATAAATAAATATTACATAAATACAATATCTCAGCACTGTTAAACATTTAATAGTAAAAAATAAGTGGCACAATGTCATTTTATGCACTGTATAAATTGACAGAATTAAATCAAGTCCTTATTACAGACCACAGAGAGTATAAAAGACAAACGAAGCTTGCGGGCAAGACAAATGATGTCACCATGGAAAAGCCTTAAACATGCATTGTATCAATCTATGACCACCACATGGAGGTTGCAGCAAAACTTCTCATCCTATAGAAGTCTATGAGAAAACAGCTGTCTATCCTGGCCTCTGTAAACACTTTCCTCTTGACCTTAAGGGCTCACTCATTTTGGATTATAGTGAATAAAAAAATTAAGTCAATTTTGTAAATCTTGGTCATATCTGACAGCAAACTGGAGGATTATCTGTATGATGAAGCTGCGCGTTCATTGGCTAATGAGAGCCACTCACTGGCTAATGGAGATCCACTGAGCATGCAGTTTCACAGTCTCTTCCCTCCTCTTCACATCTACTCAATGCTACCAAGAAGATGACTGCAGCTTCGAAGCTGGACTTCACAAACCGACAGGTGACAGTTGCATCCATTTTTTATACTGTCAAGGTCACCATACAGTGGACAATAGTGAAATAATTTAAAGTTTAGTTCTATCAATTAAGGCTGCAGTAATTCATCGAGTAACTTGAATAATTTCATTATAGAAAGTCATCGGTGCAAATTTCTTTGCTTCGAAAGATCTGTTTAATCCACACCTCCATAGCACTCAGTTGTCACCATGTGAGCAGTTTAATGTGGAGCCAGAGTCCGCCTACACAAAAAGGATGAAGAGCAAAGAGGCGGAGCCTTTATTCGGGCAGGCACTGGTGTATTTTTAAAATGGAAACCAGTGAATAGTTCATTCAACTGTTATTTCTCATTAATAAGACAAAAATAAGTTTTTCTCCAATTACTCGACAAATTGAAGGAATAATCGATTGAATACTCTATTACTGAAATAACTGATATCTGCAGCACTACATTATATTATGCTCCATAGTATTATATCAATAATAACTGTCTCTACCTAACATATTTCACATATCCTAATAGCATGTTATTATGGGACGTTTACTGAGCAACTTTCAGTTTTTACATTTTATTTCTTAGAAGATTTTCAGTACACTTCAGGGCTACCATACCTTTAATACTTGGTGAAATAGACCTTGATCAGAGGAATTCTCTGGAAACTTCAATATGAGTATGACTTTTCTTGCAGAAAATCCAAGGTAATTTTGCAACCAAGGTTAGTCTACCCATACAACTATGAAAAATGGAGCTCAGTGTTTATGGCAAACAGTCTAATATGGGGTCTTATCATCCCATATTTTATGTCCCTCTAGCCAAGTGCAATTCACAGGATGCTCATAGATACGACTTTTCAGCAAGTGCTTGGCAGGTGGCCGTGACCTCTTTGCAGAGAGTTCCCATGCCAGCCTCCCACCCCTCTTTCACCCAGGGATAAATTTTGTTGTGTCCTGACCCATGCTCATTAAAGCATCAAGATACACCTGTGATGTAAAGATGCACAGGAAATTTGGCACTGAGAGAATGAAATAATTTCACCACCTGGCCAATTCAACATAAATAAGACTTAAGCAGTATGTTATAAAATTACTCACATGCTTGTGATTTCTTTGTAATTAATCTGCATCTGATTTAAGGTTCCAAAACACTCATTTATTTTCTGTTTGTGCATCTTACGGTACTTACCCCAGCTACACAACCAAACCCAGTTTGCACAGATGAAAATAATATAGGGTAAAAGTTTAGATTTGCATAAAAGTTAGTCCCATTGTGACACCCACAGTATTTACAGTTTATTTACAGGATAATGAAGAATCCAAATTCAGTGGGCTTGACTTGGTCAGATGCTGCATTTTATCACCTTTATAGAGAGGTTGCTATAAATGATGAAGGAGGACTGTGAGAACATTATTTCTAAAGAAACACCACATGAGCCCAATCTATTTCTGCATCATTTGAATTTGTAGAAAAATCATAGTAAAAATCTAGGTTTTCTTAAGTGCAAAATAACGATCCTAACCCGACCCTGCCCTGACACCTCCAAACAGACAGACCGAATTTTGTGCTCTGAATAACAAAAATCATGTGAAACTTATCCAGTAAAAGAAGAAAAGCAAATTATGCATTAAAAAAAGACTCAGTCTTCCTATTAGGACTTTGATAAGAACTTGAATGTGGCAAACAATCAGAAACACTCTTTGTAGTGTTTATATTTTTGAATTGCTATGAAAAACAATTTATCATTTTTTTATGAATGCTATTTTATCAGGGAAAAATTGCGTGAGGGATTTGGTTTGCTATGTATTAAATGGGCATTTGTTTGTCAACTCAATTTATTATTTGTAGGAAAAGACAAATTAGGAAATTACAACATGTTAAAGAACATTCATTACTAATATTTTGTATGCACACACTTAAATCTTTATTAAATTGGTCAACATTAGTGTGAATGGTCAACAGTTTTGTCAAAACATTCAGAATTAACTGGAGTTGCTGTAAAGATCAGTCACAATACTACAATTATATATTGCTTTGCTTGAGTTGAGTGTTTCATTTAGAAGACAGACGGGTCCAAAACTTTCATAAAGAGAGACAGTGATGGCAAAAAGTGACAAACTGTAGCAAAAGGAAGTGATAACAGAGAAGGTACAACAGTGGGGCTGACTTGTCAGAAAAGACAGAAGATAAATTTAGCAGGGGTACTGCATAAGCATGAGCAAATGAAAGCAACGAGGAGAAATGAGGACTCCAAAAAAAAAAAAAAACCCCAAACATTCAAGAGTTATGGGAAGGCAATGAATAGGAATGAAGATCATTTTGAGAATACATAAGGACAATATGATCACAGACAAATAAGGGGTAGGAAAGGGCTGGGTCTTATATCTCAATAAACTGTTTAGGGGAAATTTGTCTGCACCACAGAGTATCCAAAACTACACAAGCATACATATAAGATTACAAGAATAGATCAAAACTCTTCCTTATATGATGCAGGCAGAGTTCATATCAAAAAATATGTACCCAAAATTTATAACACCTGATTAGTGGAGTCATGTCTAGGCAAAGTGTCAGGAGAAGTGTTGGCATCTGTGCTCAGAAAAACACATTTTTTAAAAGACCGCAAAAAAGAAGAAGGGTAAGAAATAGAGTGAACTGATCTTGAAACTCCATGATACTCTGCGAATTCTCTTTGTGACCATTCTTTAAACTCGCCGCTGAACCTCTCCCATGTAATTAGACATCTTTGGGAATTCCCAGCCTCTCCTCTTCTCCCTCCAGCAGCTTCCTGTAGGTTGCAATCTCTGCATCCAGCTTGAGTTTAATGTGCAGCAGTTCCTGGTAGTCTTGGAGATACTTGGTCATCTCCAGTTTGGTATCACAGAGCTGAGACTCCAACTGAGCGATGACGCTGTCTAGGTTCCCCACCTTATCCATGTGGGAGATCTCCATGTCTTCCAGCTGCTGCTCCAGGGCGGCATTGCGAGCCCTCAGACCATCAATCTGATTCTGAAGATCTGTCACCTGGTTGTGGAAGGTGGTGATCTCCTCTTTCATGGTTTTCATGTGTTCTTCATGTTTGCCAGCATGGTCCTTGAGATTGTCAAACTTGGTCTTGTACCACTTCTCTGCTTCTTGGACATTGCGAGCAGCAACAGCTTCTATCTCTGCACGCATGTTACGCAAATAAGCAGCCAGATCAGGGCGATCGCCATCCATCTCAGCACTAATTTTTGAGTCCTCAATCTGCTTCATGAGGTCAGCCACTTCTTCATCATGCAGCTTCTTGAGAAACTCTATTTCGGCCACCAGTTGTTCTATGCGCTTCTCCAGCTCAGCCTTCTGCAGCGTGGCATTGTCAACATCTTGACGAAACTCCTTCAGAATCATTTCTGCTTCTTCTTTAAGTGCCAGCTCCTCCTCCAGCTTAAGTCTCCAAACTTCTACTTCTTCTTCGATGTAGCCACGTTCAATATCAGCTGCTCCCTTCTCATTTGTCAGGACCTCAATTAGCTCTCGCACCTCTTTAAATTTGAGCTCGTATTCTTCTCCGATGCCCGTGGGGCCTCCCTTATAGCGGCTCTGCAGGGCAGTTAGCTCAGCTTGAAGAGAAGCATTTCTCTGTTCAAGCGCCTGAACTTTCTGAATGTATCCTGCGAACTTGACATTGAGTTCCTGCATTTCCTCTTTCTCATTGGCATGGTGCTGATGTATCTCTGTGCCCACCTCGATGGCAGTTCCATGATAACCCGAGCGTCCCCGGCTGTCAAAAGAAGCTCCACGGCACCGGGAAGGTGACGGACTTTGAACTCTCGCTCTGCTGGCACTGCTAACTTGCAGACTCTTCTGACTGTAAGATGCAGCTCTCATGTTGTGTAAGATACCGGCTTTGTTTTTCAATTTACAGAAGAGTGGCTGCTCTTTTGGCTTCTTGTGTAGCAAATATTGCGACTGACAGTCCCCTAGACTGTCTCTGAGTTTTTATGCAGTAATAAAGAATGTCTCAGACACCCTTGAAACTCACGCTACGCTTTAACACATTTCAAAAGTGGATTATGACTGACTTTCGGAGAACTGTGGCTGCACACTCTTTATTACCTAACGCTGTATTGTTAGTGGCCAGGCAGGTCACTCCCTGGCCTTTGCACCAGGATGTGAAATAGTGATGAGATCATATATGAATGCTCTTTTTAACTCATTATTCTCTTAGGACTCTAGTTGGGTGTGACAGACTTGAAGAGGCTATCCAGTGCGCTGGTAAATGACAATGTGCTTTGGGAGCAAGTTTTTCCAGAAGACTGCTCTGACAAAGATTCCCTGAACTTGACATTTAGACAGTTTGAGTTAAGAATTAGTTATAGGTAAAACATTTTATTGCAGGTATAGCTAAAGAGAATATATCTAAAGCATATTTCTAAAGAGGACTAACAACAGAAATTTGGCGCACATATATATATATATATATATATTGGCACACAAGAAAAGACACATTTCCAAGATACAAATGGAGGAAATGGAGAACAGTTGAGGAGTGTGAACTGATAAGGCAGAAAATGAAACACTGAATTAATCCAGCTATTAATAATGTTTAAATTTTTATCATGTGTATCATATCAGCGGCTGCTATTGTGGCTAGAATACATGCAATGCTTGCTAACCTAATCTCCATGTAAATGCATGAAGTGTCACTCACTTTGACATACTGTCCCACAAAGTCAGTGACCTCTGAAGTGAAGCAGCCCGAGGCGTCCACAGGGCAGATAGGAGCCTGGTCCTTCTGGATGATGTTGTATTCAGTGCACACCCTATAATCATCCTACAGAGAGATAATATTACAGTTTAGAGATGGGTTTGACATGGTCTGGCATCTTTATTATCAATATAGTCTTCTGTATTATTCCTTTTCACGGCTGTTTTTCTTACATATTATTTATTATTTTACAAATACAATTTGCACTACGCTCTTGCACAATGTCAACTACAGTTTTACTTTTGTTTTTTTCAATGTATATATAAACTTTTGCATTGCCTAGTATAAGGCCCTTATGCAGTGCCTGTGGCACTTTTAAATTAACTCTGTTGTTTATTTATTGTAGATTGTACTATTTGTGTTATTTATCCTGCTCCTATAACAAAATAATTTCCCTTGTGGGATCATTTAAAGTATCCATCTATCTATGTTTCCATCTATCCATCTAATCTCTCTCTGTGTGTCACAAATATCCACTTATAACAAAGTCACATGTAATAAAAATGTAAAAGAAATAAATTAGACTACACAATCTTAATGTTGATCATTTCATCTTAAGCTCGTTTTACAATTCCATTACTGCATATAGGTGCAGCCAAAAGTGAACCCAGTTTCGACAGTGTAAAGATATGTTATGACTCCATATTAAATTCCTTGTTGAGCTGGATACTTTTTGCAGTGTTGAAACAAGCACTGCTGGTATGTGACAGCTATGCATGAAAGATCTGAGCACTGTCCGGCTGCAGATGTAATTTGTATTCAAACAGCCTGTCAAAACCCAAGACAGATGTGCCACATGGTCATTTCACATCTAGTCATACAATACAATTTGAAGAATGTAAATTGACAGTTCTTTCCCTTTTACTGTACAACTTCAGAGCTAATGTACTTGTTTTTGATATGGTATTATTAACTGAAGAAGATCTTTTTCATTTTTTTTTGAAAATCAAAATTATTGTGACAACTAAATAAATTAAAAAATTAAATGCAAATTGAAATGAGATGCTAACTACAAGGGTGATGTTAACAGTTCAGAGATTGCTGTACAGAAAGCTAAGACGGTTGGTTGATATTCAAAGCTGGCTATAGCAACTGGGGCACTTGTCTACCCTTGGCAAGGGCATCTAACCTATTAGCAGTGTCCAATACATCTGATAGCACTACTGCATTGGACTCAATACACTGATACCATAGCACTCAAAACAAACACTCCTCGACAACAATACACCTCAACTTGAAATGAATTCGAAAATGTGTGTGCTCATTTCATCTCATCTTAAATGCATACATTTAATTAAAAGAATTTAAATTATCAGGCAAGAAACACAGCATCCTACATCAGATAAAAACACCCAATAAATCCACATAAGATGTTGATGCTCATAAGATAATTGTTTAAAATAGCATCCCAAGAATCTATGAAGTAACTCATCAGTTGAACCTTTAATTTTTCTGCTTATTATGATTACTACAAACCAAGAGCAACACTTCTTTAACATTTAATTTTACTTTTTGCAGCTCCCCCTTATGTAATGAGCATTGCATGTTGTCGCAGTTGCAGGATTTTAGAAAAGATCCTACTTACAGCTCCAAAATAAGGTGCCTGGTGGACCACTCCTGTGCCCTCTTCCTCTTTGACATAGTTATCCGTCAAAACCTGGAAAGCTCCTTTCTCTGAACACTGAATTAAAAAAATGACAAGATATTAGATGAAGGGTGAGGACAGGGTGAGTAGTACAGCAACAATACAAACTCATGGATGCATTTAGATGTAAATAGAGGTGTCACTGTGCTGTGTTAATTAAAGACAGGCATACTGTTTAGTTTCTGAAAAACATTAGACATAACTGTGAAACAACCAGGAAGAAAAACTGTACTAACCTTTGCAAAGTACTGGAAAAGAGGCTTGTATTTTTTCCCTTTCAGTGTCTTACCAGGAAATCTAAAAAGCAAATAAAACACTTGAAACCTTCCTACAATAACTTTAATTCATAATTACTGCAGACACAAACCAGCAGAAAAGCTGTACAAGCACAGCTTCACAGGACAAAAGAAGTTTCCTCATATTCCACTTTTTAAATCCAGACACCAGTTTGTTTTTCCGCACCAAAATCTTTCTTAACAGTGTCCCTCCAACTGTTGAGCTCGCACAAAATAAATGAGAAGAAAGGAGCAGAACAACACGTTGATGGACTTATCTCAGTCACCTTGAGTTAGAACTGTGAGCAGTAGCTTTATGTAATGGTGTTTAAGCCTTAGAAGCAGCGGAGAGTAATTTGAGGACGTTCTTAGCCTTGAATTTCACCTCTCAGGCTCACACCAAAAAATTCAGACAAATCATCTTTACGATACAGTTTTTATAAGTTATCTCACAGTAAAGGATAGATGTTAAATGTTTTTTTTTTGTTTTTGTTTTTTTTTTTAAGGGAGGTGATTTCACTTGGTAAGGACAGAAATTGCCTCAGGATCTTTGTGAGATCTCCATTTAAGGGCTGTGTTCATATTGGCAGCTGAGACAGTCCCGATGCACCGTTTCTGTAATAATAGTTCAAATAAAGGCGTCTGTGTCTGTGTTTAAGGGTTTTGTCCTTGTGGAAGAAGAAGAGGAAGGACATTTTTTTTGTCTTGTTTACATCACCGGTTCAGTTATCTGATATACAGGATGAGAGGGGATAAATCATGCCTAGAAATTTGCTCCATCAGGTTTCAGTAAATTCTGTAGTCTTTATTCACTCACTTGTTTTCGTCATCTCACTACGCTTTATTTTTTTCTGCTATGTGCTTTCCCTGTGCTCCAGACTCATCCAGTGAGCTGAGAAATTGGAATTGTTCCCCTTTCTGCTGCAAAGAACAACACTTAGCTGGTAAAATACAACCTTTCCTAATCTGGCTGTTACAAATTTTAGCCACTCTGGAAGAGAAGTCGTAACTCAACAAAAAACCTTTGACAAGAAACATTAAACACAAGTTTCTTACTCATTGAAAAAGGCAGCAGCTGGGTTTCAAGTACAAAATGTTAACATTACATAAATAACTATAATTATATAATAACAACTATATTTCCAAAACAATCATGTATTGCTATCTAGACTTTCACTTCAACTTTTTCCAATTAAACTGAGACTAAAAACAAAAAATAAAAATCTGGAAATACTTCAGTAACTACATAACACAACACGTTTTTTTTTTTTTTTTTTTAATCTTTATTGCTTTTCAGAAGCATTTGTCAGCTGAAACAGCTTTAATTTTGGAAAGCAAATTAAGGCAACTAACGTAAGTCATGACGCCAGCAATCAGGGCACAAATCTAGAAATGCTCCTAACAAAAAGAAACAGCAGCTGCTGGCTTGTATTTTGTGTACCCTTTATTCACAGTTCTGGTTGCTAGTTCTGGCTTGTTAATAAAGTAGGACTGTATTGTACAGTATATTCACCTAAGGGAAATTACTTCCCCAGTAGCTCAGCAACAGACTGCTGCACTTTGGTGCCAACAGACTGAAGTGTGCACATTTTGAAAAATTTAATCCTTTGAACTTTTTAGCTTTTTCTTCACTTATATAGCCTTTGTACTCACTTGTCAAGGATAGTGTACTCGCTCTCTGACTTAAACAGAGCCCCCAGTCTGGCCTCCATCATGATGTAGGTCTTGTGTGTGGTATTATCTAAGAGACAAAATAGAAATTCATGTTGGTTTTAGTTTTTTTTGTAATTTTCTTGCTTTTCAAAATTTCCCATCACACCTGTGGAGAGCATCAATCCAGATAAATCATTAACCAAAGACTCCTTTTACCAATTAATTTGCTACTGTTAAATGTAGGTGCACTTTAACCACAAACACTTTCAATGTCAGGCAATAGAACGATGTAGATTTGCAATGACTCAACAGTTATTCAGGCAGCTGACTGACAAATTTTTAGTTTGTCTACATCTGAAATGGATCACAAACGGTCATTCATTAAGCAAAGAACATATAACAGCAAACTTCATATCTTTAGGCGTGCACTGCTGGTCAGGAACAAAGATTTCTGAGGATGTAATTAGTGCATTTTCTTCACGTGTGATAACACTATTAACATAAACATCTTTATTTTTTACTTAACAGTCATTTAGAGCATTGGGGATGTACTCCTACAACTTGGAACTAATACACACATAATAGACAATTACATTTTGTCACACTAGATTATGGC